AAGGACACAGTTTGTCCTTGGTGGAGGCGCTGCAGTTGTTAGCGGCTTTGTTGTTTCAGAAAGGGGTAAAAAGCGGTTTGAAGTCTTCAGAACATTTAGTTGTGGCCTTATTTCACTCCTATTGTCATTCTTAGCTTTGTCAACTTTGGGTTTAGCTCCACAATTGTTCCAATAATTCTCATTGTTGATTTTGGGAAAAGAAATGACGTCATAACTTACATTTCCAGTCTGTCCATTCATCCCATTTTCACTCATTGGAAGAGTCGGGTTTAGTCCCATTTCTGTTTCCACAATAGATATCCGTGTTTGAAGAGATTTGAGCTGATTTTCCAAAGCACAACAGCCACCGCAGACGCTTCTCCGTCTCTTTCGTCCCGACATGACTAAAGTTGATAAATTCCACAAAGCTGAAGTGTGTAGAAGGAGTAATCCTCGTTTTGTAAATAAAATGATTAAAGGAGAAACAAAAAATGTAAATAAAATGATTCAAGGAGATTAAAAGGCGAAGCAAAAGCAGAGCAGAGCAGAGAGACACGACTGCTCTCTCGAGAAGCAGGAAGCAATATGTACAACAATACAACAACGTGCTTACGTCATCACATAACTAACGTAGTCCAGTAAGGACAAAATATATCACATCTCCTCCCCCCTTACATTAGAAGTAGGATTTGTTTATCTCAAATAACATTTTTTTTTTCTTTTTTTACAATAAGCATGCATAACTTCCAAATGCACATGTAGTAACTCCTTAAGTACAACATTAATTGCTTAGGTTTCTGAAAAGATTTCTGACAGTCATTAGTCCATTTCCATTTCTTTTCTTGACATAACAGCTCGTGTAGCGGCTGTAGTAGCGATGCAAGGTTTGGTATGAACCTTCCATAGTAATTTAACAGCCCTAGAAAAGATCTCAGCTGACTCACATTTTCAGGTGGAGGTGCGTCAACGATGGCTGCGATCTTAGAGGGTGACGTGTGCAAGCCTTTTGCATCGATGACATGGCCAAGATACTCCACAGATGATTTCAGAAATTCACATTTTTCCTTGCGAAGTCTGAGTCCATACTCTCTTAGCCTTTGCAGTGTAGCATCCAAATTGCGAAGATGCTCTTCATCGTTTGCTCCTGTACAGAGAATATCATCCAGATAGCACTGTACGCCTTGTAAACCACTGAGAATTTGATCCATGGCACGCTGAAACAATAACGGAGCCGACGTAATGCCAAAAGGTAATCTGCAGTATCTGAAAAGTCCTTTGTGCGTGTTTATTGTCAGCATATCACGTGACTCCTTGTCCACATGCATTTGCAGGTACGCCTGATTTAGGTCGATTTTACTGAACTTTTCACCTCCACTCAGTCCTGCGAACAAATCATCAATCAAAGGAAGTGGGTATTGCTCTGCACTTAGCACCGGATTTACAGTCACTTTAAAATCTCCACACGTGCGTATACCTCCATTCTTTTTGGGTACTGGCACAATGGGAGTGGCCCATTCACTTGTTGTAACCGGTTCCAAAACGCCACTTTTAACTAAAGCATCAAGATCTTTTTCCACTTGTTCACGTATGGCATAAGGCACTGTCCTGGCCTTCAAGAACACTGGTTTGCTTCCTTCTTTGATGTGCAGTTTGACAGTAATCTTTTTCATGCTGCCTGCTCGAAAAACCTCCTCATTTTGGTCCAGGATGGTTTTCAGTTGTGATGATCCATTAGACAGCCGTCTAACTTCTTGCCAGTCAAGATGTAGTGTTTTTAACCACCCACGTCCCATGATGGGTGCAAAGTTTCCCTTGGTGACATACACTGGTAACTTGGCAGTTTGGTTGTTGCACTGAACTGTTATGTCAGTCATTCCTTTTATTTGCACCTTGTGCCCAGTGTATGCCTTGAAAACAGTGTCAGAAGGATGTAAAGGAAGATGTTTCATGCACTTCTTGTAGATTTGATATGACACAAGTGATGCCTTGGAGCCTGTGTCTATCTGCATTTTGACTGGATACCCTTCCAAGTTGGCCTTGGCCCAGTAGCAGTCTGAGCCCTCATTCACACTCATTATGCGAATTGTATTCACTGTCATGTCTTCCTCTGAAGAAGAGCTTTGGTCATATTTCACCGTGTGTACTTGCCTTTTCTTTTTAAATTGATCATAGTCTCTCTTGTCCTTTTTCTTACTTTTTTCAAATGTTTTCTTGTTTCGACATGCTCGTTCCACATTGACGACAGTCCATTTCTTTACACCAGCAGGTGGATGCTAGATGCCCTGTTTTACCGCACCGAAAACACGGTCCTTGTGTATTGCTTTGACTATTTGCAATTTTGTGTACCCTGCCTGTACCAGTCTGTCCCTTAGCGTGTCGTTTAACACCTCCTTAAACTCACAATGTTCAGCTAACCTCCTCAAGGCTGCTACGAACACGATGACAGACTCCCCGTCCTCTTGATTGCGCTTGTGAAAACGAAACCTCTCCGCAATAATAAGGGGCTTGGGTGAAAAATGGC